GATGTCACTGCCATCAAGTGCTTTTTGGTACTCCGTGTTTCTGTGCCATATTGCGACGTTGCGCATGTGTGATTACCAGAATCATACATGCTGCTTGTGGCTGCCAAGAGACGAAGCGAAGGCTGCCACACACCCTCGACGATTTCATCGGGGCTGGGCGGATTGGTCCTTAATGGTGGAAAGCTTTGTCCGCAGAAAGACCAGACGCAAAGAGGGGTTGATATACTTACGCTGATATATACATGCATCATCATATTTGTATGTATGTTACCNNCCCCCCCCCCCCCCCCCCCGATTTTCCTACCTGTGTTGTGGGTTTTTACCACCGGTTACCGCCGGTGTGCGTTGCAGAACTGCATGCGCATAGGCATGGCCGCAGCCACTAATAAATGCTTTCCTGTACTGTTCGCCTCACCCTTGAGTTCCACTGTCAAACAACATTTGCCATACATGCAAACTGTCAGAACTAATATCCAGCTATGTTGAATGCTTGATGCTTTTTTTGCCTCATGCCTATGTACCGCTCACGCCACATCATTGGCAGTATTTAGACATCCTCATGAACATCAAAAATTCATTACTCGAGTAGCCGATCGGTGCGGTAGCACAAAAAACAGATAGATAGTCCTTCACGGCGTAGCACTTAAGTGCTAGTGTGTCCTTAGACAACAACCACCGCTTAAGTCATTGAGAAGGAGATAGCAAAAAAAGACTAAGTTGTGTGTGAATATCACATGTTCGATGACTGTTGAATGAATGCCTGTACTTTCCATTTTGCTAGAGCACGATACTTACACAGACGCACAGAACTTGGCACTGAACATCACGTAGGTATCAGGGGAGTACTCAGATGAGCTTTAACTACTGCACGAATAGATAATAGTAAGGCAAAGCCTGAAGACGATGAAGATATTACAGGCTAAACACAAATCTTCCAATATTGGATCATTGAACAGCATATCGGCAAAAATGCGCCGAGTCCCGGGTATACTAAAAACAACGCTTTGATTCTTTCTTTTGCTTGTAAACCAAGAGTCTGAGGTAGTGAAAGCTGCAGCAACATGAAGAATCGTACTTTCAGAATCTACAGACTTTAGAACTCAAGAAAGACATTTAAAACATGTAAGGCTAAAGCAAATAATGTCCCATGTCCCATCTGCTTTGGTACTACCATAGGTCCGACTGCAGGGAAATCGCCAAGACTTTTGAGGTTGCAAGCCCCGGGACAAGTGCGGGCGCTACAAGTACGGGAGGACGTACCGTGCCGAACTCGCCACAAGAAATTCACAGCATTTCTTTCGTCCAAAGCAGTAGGCTGCAAAACAACGGCAGGTAGACACCGACAGCCATGCTGTCGCCAAAATTGCGAGTGAATTCTGAGCATAAGAGCGTGCTTTCGCCACAGGCCCCAGGCAAGCAGCGGCAGAATTGCATCTGACGACCTACAGCAGCAAGCCAGCGCGGAAGATGGCGCATCTTTAGACCTGTCGCAAAAGTCCCTCAGCTGGCTTCTCAGCGTTTCTCGTTTCTGGCGAATTGACGGCCGCAGCACCTGACACTCCTACCACAGCCCCCCGCGACCTGTCCCTGATGTTTGAATTTGGGACGTTGCAATGCTCTTGCACGCCCGACCATTGCTGGGGATCTAAGCTGCCGGTTGAAGCATGTCACAGGTCTGCTTGCATATCTCTTTCTGTGCAGATATGTCTAGGTGTGTTCATTCCCCTAACCGGTTTACACATATATTATAATATGCGCACATACACGCATGCAGTCACATGCATACATACTTGTCTCAATGGAATGCACATGTGCCAAAGAAGGGTGTCTAGCTAGAGACGAAGCTTTCAATGCAAGCCAAGACTCTTGGGCACCACGAAAGCATCCCGCCTGCGAACCACATTCTCACCAGAGTATACAACTGAGGCGGACCTCCTGCCCCTACCACTTCGAGAGAATTCGGACTGACTTCATTGCTTCTGGGAGAGCTGTCGTGCACATCCACGTGCCAATCGCGACACAGGCACGAATCAACGTTGATCAGGCAGTGCGGCATGGCCGGTGAATGTCACAGTTCACGTGCACTCCCTCTTCCTGCTCCAGTCTTCTTTTTGCACTGCTCCCTGCAGTGTCGAGCCTGAGCCTGAGCGCCAGCGGCGACGAGCCGCTTACGAAGGCGTGAACCAGATAACATCTGTGCACCTTGGGCCCCATGCCAACGCAACACTTGGAGAGGACACAGCGTAAAGGATGCTGGAGGAAATATCAGCCCTCGCTCGGAGCCGAAGCTTCCTGATTTCTGCAGCCCAGGCGCTGGATCGAACTCTGCGACACGTCCCCAGTGTCCGTTGAGCTGCCTGGGACAGCAATCCTTGTGGCACCCTGGTTTGAAGACTGGTTTGACAGACCCTTAGAAAGCTGTCGTGTCTGATACAGCAGCTGCTAAGAAGTCAACTTACAATCGGTTGCACAAGAGACCTACGAGTAGAGCACCCCGCCATGAACCTGCACTTCAACGCATGATCACCTACGGCTTGGCTGTTTCCCAGGCTCGGCATGGGGACATCGAGAACAGACTTTTGCAGCAATACGGTAGCTGAGTTGCGGCGTATGAACCAAGCCATTGATGAGAACTTCCCGACCTTACTACAAAGACAGAGCACGCACAGGCAGCAGTCAAAAGCACCTGGAGAAGACTTGCACGCTCCCGTTGGCACGGCCTTGCCTGATCCGCCATTCAATGCTGTTCGACACTGACCTCTTCTGGAACTTGCACGTGTTCAATCCCTGACGTTGTGAGCCGCGCTGCTTCGTTTGTGGGCGGCTGATGCGTGCTTTGACATGTCTGACATGCAGGCGGCTTCGCAACTACTTTGTGCTGGTCCCTGGTGTGACGCTGAAAATCGACAGTACATACAGAAAGGCAGGCTCAACCGCGCCATCGTGCCTTCATGCACATTGAATGCGGCCACATGAACGGCTCAGGGCCAAGCCGATGACATCATGCTCCAAATCCTTGGACTGACGTGTGCTTGACTGTGGGCAAACATCTGCACGCTGTATTCCCAAAGCCCCGTCCTGGTTACGTTTAGTTTTCCGCCGCGTTTGAAGATGTAAGTTGTGTAATTTCCTTACATCTCCACACATCTGCGGCCCGGGCATTAGAATCGCGAGGTTGACTGCGCAACCTGGGCGTTCGAAATGTCTGAGCTCAGAGTAGCTCAGATTCATCTGCTGCGATTCTCCTTCCAATCCAACCCCCGAGCCGGGCTTAGCACCGCTTCGAGGCTGCCCACTGGTGCCCGGAGACAGGCGAGCCTGGTTGGCAAAAGCGGCGCGGTATGGCGCGGTGGCCGACTTACTGTCACGCTTATGTCTGTGCCGTCCTGCCTGCATCGAGAACTTGTACATCCAATTCGGCCGGGCTGTCGAAGCCATCTACCTCTACCTCGACATCACCAACGTACAACGTGCCACATCGTGCCACACGTTACATTATGTCACACGGACTGACAAGCACGGCGCACACTCGAAGATTCTCAGCTCAGTCCGAAGTAGTTCAAGCGGAGCGAAATTGAAAGCAGGGTTTCTGATGGCATGCACGGGATACGTTTGACCCAAGATTTGTTTCTAGGGAAGAACGTTTGCTCTGCTAACTGCTTCCTGGAGGTGGGTTGCAGCTCGGCTCCCAAGTTCTCTGCGCCTCGTGGCGAGGCGGCAAAGGTCCAGGTGGCACCGCGCCAACAGGCTGGGGTCGCGGCACATCGCCCTGAGATGGCAGCTGAAAGGCATCGAACTAAGGGGAGGGAGGCCCAAGAACCCCCAGGAACCCAGGACCCTATGACCCGCCTGGCCTGCTCCTCTTGCTCTCGCCGTCGGGCGATCGCATGCTCACGTCGCCGCCTCACCCGAACGCCCGCCCGCCGCCGGGGCTTCGTTCGCGCCTCTGCGCCTGGACAGAGAGTTTGGGAAGAACAACATGATACAACATGCACAAAGCCACACAATTCCATGCGACACAGAATGCTCGGAGTAAGCTCGAAGTTCGCGGCCACCTGGCGGCTCCTCCGAGGAGGGCTCCGAGGGCGGTGACGGTGATGGCACAGGCTCGGAGGGCAGCGCCTCTCGCACTCAGCCAGGCCCAGCCCTCTTGCTGCGGCCCTATACACACCACGAAGCGTCTCTTCGCGGGAGGCCTGGTTCAGCTCTGCGGCACGCTGTGCAGCGCGGAGTCGACGCGCAGTTAGGCGCTGGCCCGCACGGTATGTCTTCTTGCCTATCCAGCAGAAGTCGGCAGCAAAGCAGCAAAACCAAAACGCAGAAGGAGGAGGAGGAGGAGTCTGGGTCTGCGTGGGGTGACAGGCTACGACCTAACAGTTTCGGGGCATGACTGACTATATTACGAAGTGAGCCTGACCGCGCAGCCAGGTTCGGCACCGTGTTTTCCTCTGCAGTCCTGAATCCGAGAGCAGATTGACAGCAAGTGCGGACAACATAGCTCTCTCCCCCCTGAGAGAGTCGTGGGACTGGCCATATCTTGACAAGAAATTTGGAACAGCTTCAAGCCTGCGAAATACTACCAACGAGCTGCTTCCATTCACAGATAACGAGCACGCAGCCCGGATTCAGTTCAAGTCCTCCGCATTTCAACTGCTAAGGCCCATGCACGGACTGCAACCAGCTTGAAGAAGCTGATGCCTTCAATGCTGCTGCCATGTCGCTACGTGACGCACGCGTGAAACAGGAACGACATCGGTGCGCTCTTCTCCGACACGTTGCCTGATGGCCCTGTTCAGGCCCATCACTGCGCCATGCCGGTGCCCAACCCATCACCTGCGCATTCCTCAAGAGGGAAGCAGAAGACAAGGAAGCGAACCCACCAATTGCTTTGTTTGGAAGACTTGATCAGGGCGAGCCATGCCATGCCATGCGACCGGGGAGGAGCCCAGGATCCCGGTGTCTCACAGCCGATGTTACTCAGCGAGCTCTGAGAGCTAGGCTGTGTAGAGGCACCTCCGGTAGCAACAAACTGTTGCACATTCGACAGTGCTGGCTGCATGCAGTCTCAACCACACCCAGGCATGTCGACCTATCTCAGTTAAGGCCAGACACCGGCAGCAAATCCGTGGTTCATTGGCATCGGCACCATGAGCCCAGCACCTGCCAAAAGCGCGCTAACTTGCTTGCCTTGCCCAATTCCCGAAAACCTGGTCAACATCCGGCTCTATCACAGTCGTGCTCGCTTGCATCGTGGCTCCAACATGATGGCGGCCTGGCGTGCTCGAAGAAGCTGGCATGCTGGGAACCTTCAAGATGCAGGACATGCCATCTGCGAATTTTGCCGGGGTGCCGTCGACATGCGGCCATGTCAGTAATCCTCTGCATAGGACCTTGGGTGAAGTCAATGGCGGCGGTGGTGTTGACGAAGCATCGGAGACGTGTGGCGACCCCATTGGAGCGGGCACAAAGGGGCCATGATGCCCAGGCCTTAGAATGATTCATTACCCGCAGGCTTGTCCCCGCCGTCACAAGGAAAACCACGCTCGAGTCATCGGCAGTCAGGCTCTTCAGGGCGAGTCGCTGGCCCAGGACTCCACCAAGCATGGGCTGGAGGGCCAGCATCATCACCTCTGCATTTCTGGCCAATGATGCCCACCGAAGGTCGGATAAGAGGCTAGTTGCTTGACCTCTCTGCGCATGCAAGACAGCTAAGAATCTCGCAACGCCAGGTCCCTGAGAAGGATCGGGCATGGACTGACACTGCCTCACACAAAAGACAGGAAGTTGGCTCAAACCCGCTCCAGAGGACAACAGCGAAACCAAGTGCGTCCAGTGCACTGAGCTCGGTTGTCCATCATGTACTCCCAGTCAGTGGACGGGCACTGGTCGCTTCGCGAAGCATTCTCGGACTCGGAGCCGCACGAGACAATCTGGCCGTCCTTGCACTCCGCCAAGTCTTGAATTTGTCTCAGGCTCACATGGCTTTTCTAACAAGGCTTGCAACGACTTCACTGTTCCGACAGCCGCCCAACGAAATGGCGAGCTGCGGGCACAGGCCTCAAGTTACTTTTACTTAGCGACCCGCGTAAGGGTCCGTGATATGAAGATGCCGAGTCCTACTGCCCTTTCGTTTCATAGCCATTGCGAGATCTCCAGGGCAGGAAGGCCACTGTGTCTGTAGACGTGCGCGTGCATGCGATTGTAGGCGCACATCTGTCGGCCTTTCCCCACTTGTGGTTTTACCCCCGCTCCCTGCAGTTGCCTTTGCACCTCCACCCCATCCTTTCACACAGATCAGACAGGTGGCTCTCGCATCACCTCGGTGCCGAAGAGGGCCTCTGTCAAGTTGAGCTTCTGACACGCACGACTCATGTCATTGACCCAGTGACGCGACGTCCCCAAACAACGTTCCTACGGCTCAGCCGCATCACGTCCAAGCCGCGTCCCACCGCGCTCTGCAGACTGTGCTTCGAGGCGGGGCTCCTTCTCTATCCAGCACCGGAAACTAAAGACAGAAACGTATGTATGTGTGTATGTATGTATGTAGGTAGGTAGGTAGGTAGGTAGGTTTTTCCTTCTCGCATGGCAGAGAACAATGCGCACCGGCGACGTGCTTGTATGTAGGTAGGTCGGTCGGTGGGTGGGAGGTACTGTACGCAGGAAGGTAGGTGGTAAGTCGGTAGGTACATAGGTGTAGGTGTAGGTGTAGGCGTGGGTGTAGGCGCGTGGGTGTAGGCGTGTGGGTGTGGGCGTGTGGGTGTAGGCGTGTGGGTGCATGTGTAAGTGTAAGTGTAGGTGTATATGGGTGTGTGGGTGTGTAAAGAGGTGTGTGTGTGTAGGTAGGAAGAGGTGTGTGCGTGCGTGCGTGCGTGCG